GCAAAAGTTCCTCTAGAAAAACAAACAACAGTTAATTGAAGGAATTATCATTTCTCTGCAAAAATTAATCCAGATACTTACTAAAATCTAAAATGCTGTACATTTTGAAAAATCAAACGGAATTACAAAACAATTAAGAAAAGAAGAAAATAAATTACATAAAATATTTACAAGGACGATTCAAAAGGTCAATGCAAACAACACTTTTGTTTTTTTTTCTTCTTATATAATTCGCATTTTCACACACCAAACTATCATAACAAATGATATAATTTATGGTCCAAATATATATATATCATGTATATTATGCAATTATATTATTGAAAAGATCACAAGCATAAATAAAATATAAAGGTTGAAAAAAAATAACGAATTTAATTAAATACCTTTTTGTCAAACAAGATGATGTGATGAACTATTGGTGCTTACAAGTAAAAACATTCAATAGCCCAATCATATTTTTTGAAATGAGAATATGTTTCAGTGGTAACAATAAACACAACACTATTGAATACGCAGTGATACCACCGTTCACACAAATCATCAATACCTACCAACTTCTCGTTCCATGGTTCCAACGTTGAATATTTTGTTGTAGTATTCTTTGCCTTTCCTAGTGCAAAGCTTGAGATAAATCCTCGATTAAGTAAAATTGATCTTCGTAGTACGTGAGAGAGTGCACCTAGTTCCGAATTCGACCAAAGCCTTGCATCAGAAATGGCAAAGACTACAACAGCACAAATGTCAACGTTTGATGCATGGAATAAGAAGAAGATACTCATCGGTGATTCGTGTGAACGGTTATTCTATCGATTTTGGAGATTGTGGTGTTTATTGTAACTACTGACACATATTTGCGTTTTCCAAATAAAAGAAATTGTGATGAGAACTGTCTACATGTTATCACCCTAAGTTAAACGTACCTAAGACGTCCTCTTGTTTGTAAAAAAAAATAATTCATTGAACTCGTTATTTTTCTTCCAACTTTTTAATTTGTTTTTTCCTGTGGTCTGGTCAATTACAAAATGGCCTAATTTATATACTTTCCAGGCCTTAACGAATTTTATTTCATTTGTAGTACCAATTTGGTTTGTGGGGAAATCAGGGTAATGCGATTCTTTTTTTCTATGTGTATATATGAACATAACCAATGAAAAAAGAAGTACTCGCACTCTAATATAAATGAATACGAACAAAAAAAGAATTTATTCTCAAACTTATCACATTTTATGCAAAAAGTCACCAAATATCATTAATTTCAATTTTGTAGGAATACAGTTGTACTCCTCATAAATGCAAACAAAAATTATAGCTGTACTCCTATATAATCGCAATTAATTGAAAACAACCCATCATGAGATACAAAAAAGTACAATTATTTATTGAGTAAAATGATTGCCATTACGTTGGTTCATGTCTGGCTTATTTGTTTTTCGTAGATTGTTTTGTTGTAAATTAAGCCGTTAGTTTTCTCGTTTGAATTGTTTCACATGTTTCATGTCAGGGGTCTTTTATGGCCGACTTTATGATATGGGATTTTCTCATAGTTGAAGGCCGTACAGTTGTCCATGATTTCTTACTAACACTTCATTTTAACTCTGGTGGATAATTGTTTCATTGTCAATCATACCACATTATCTCATTTTTGTAGAAAAGAAGAAATATTGACATTCCTAAATGTCAAAATGCGCATCTGTTGCAGTAAAATTTGTACCGTTATTGTTATTATTAAATAAAATATTTTTTGAAGTACCTGTTCATTTTTGTTCATCTCATTTTATGTAAAAAAACTACCCTCAATTTACATACAGTTCTTATATCCAACGAAGGTACATAATTTTCAATAAGAAAACATGTTTTTATGACTCTAAATCAATATAAGCAAAACAATAAGAATCTTAACTGTTATATTTATCACATGTTAATGAAAACACAATTTATCCTTAGACATGTTAGATACAAAAAGTACGTTTAACCAATGGCGGTTTATTCTTTCAATTATAATGATGAAATAATGGTACACTTAATCAATACGAAAAAAAAAATTATGCATTTTTTATCTTTTATGATTCAACTTTCATGAAATTTAAAATTACTGATTTCGACTAACAGTTCAAATGTTAAAACTGAAAACTAAAAATCAAATAACCCATCCCGAGGTATCGAAATCACAAATGTCAAACTAAGGTAAATTATTTTGTATATAAAAAAGAAATATTGGCACTCATAATCAATGCGAAAAGTTTAGCATTTGTTTTCCTTACATTTATCACATTTAATGAAAATCAACCCATCCCGAGTAACTAAAATTTCTAATATCCAACGGCAGTAAATGATATTATTTAAAAATGAAGATTTATTGAAACTTTTATATCAATGTGAAGAAAAAGTTTAGAATCTGTGCTTTATTTATTATACTAAATATAAACAACCTATCTTTGACGATCATCATTTTCTATATCACGAAAAAATAGTGGCCTTCTTAAGCAATTTAATTAAAATGTATTCTAAAGTAATTAATGAACATAATTTGTACAAGCATAGTATTTTCTTTTCAATGTTTAACGAAAAAACATTTTAGATAAAATAAGAAAGACTGCAAACAAACATGATGAACTCTTCTGTTATTTGAAAAGAGAGAAGGAGCATAAATAGTAATCATTAAAGGCAGAAAGGAAAGTGTATAAACTTCTGACAGGCTGGTCGCTATATGTAAAGAATGGTATATAAATTCGGATAAAAAATAAAAGTACCAATGATAAATATCATACGGAGAACAATTATTTATATTTTTCATATGTCATTGCGATCAAGTTGCATCCACATGATCGGTACAAGTATCTTCGTCGATGTCGGCGTTTTTCTCTTAATAAATATTGTAGGGCTCGTTTGATATATGAATTGTTTTTATCTAATACGTTTTTTCGATACGTGCATATAATAAATGATCTGATTGATCGCAGATTATTATCACGATTACTCTCACATATAATCCGTCAGGTAAGTCATATAAGCTATAGAGCAACGATTACCGGTCATTCGTGGATCATTCAACAATCCTTCACTGATCATTCACCAATTAATCGAACTCACGTCAAATAGTAACGCCTTTTTATGCAAGTACTGTATCTACGTAGCCCGTTATTCTTCCACTATGTCTAATGAAGTTTGAACATTCGCTTCGTAAATTCATCAACGGAGGTGTTATTGAGCATGTCAGTACAGAATCAATGATTACTGAGCTGATGATAACTTTGGGACGAGCCGTCCATCAGCAGTGTTATCGATCGACCCAGTGATAGATAATGAAAATAACACATTGATATACCTTCATTAGGAGGAACGCCCGACCCTAAAAAATGAAAGTAATAGAGGTATGAATACTTGAGGTGCTAAATGACAAAACTGACCTTTAAAAAATAATCATCTAACTTCAACTTCCCAGACGGAGCTTGAACCTTCGATTCTTGATAGTTTCTACATTTATCAAATGAGATTTTAGGAAATGTTTGTCATAAATCATGTCAGTACCAACGCTTTGACTAGTCATCTGACCCGGCCTGGGACTATCATTTTAACAGTAGCAGTATGGATCAAGTGCTAACAAAGAAACATTTTCAAATGATTTTTAAAGTTTGTTCTCGTATTGTACTGTTACACCAATGTCCCAGGTAAGGTGATGGTTTGCGTTTTCAAACATGTTTAACCCTGCCACATTCTATATGCGCCTGTCCCAATTCAGGAGCCTGTAATTGAGTGGTTGTCGTTTTCTGCTGTTTCTCAAATTTGTTTTCTGTTTATTGTTTTGCATAGTTTGTTCTTGTGTTGTGCCGTTACACCATTGTCCCAGGCTAGAGGAGGGTTGTCGCCTTCAAACATGTTTAATCCCGTCACATTCTTTATGTGTCTGTCCCTAGTCTGGAGCCTGTAGTTCAGTGGTTGCCGTTGGTTCATGTCTGTCATATTTGTTTGTCAGTAATTGTGTTTTGTTCTAAATTAGGCCGTTAGTTTTCTCAATTGAATTATTTCATATTTTTCAAGTCAGGGTTTTTTAAAGCCGATTATACGGTATGAGTTTTTTTCATTGTTGAAGGCCGTACAGTTGCCTAAAGTTCCTTACATCCACTTCATTTGAACTTTGGTTGATAATTGTTTCATTGGCAATCATACCACATCTCCTTATTTTTATATAAAACTTTATAAATTTGATGCATTCAAAGCGTGGATGGTGTTAGAACTTCTTGCTTCTCACACAATTCACCAAATGATTACAAATACGCACCCAGTATATAGTGTCAAAGTCCTGAATATGACAAAATCGGTAATAATGCGAATATGGCATTTCATGCAAATTTCTTGATTTCTATTGATCTAAACACTCAAATTTAAAGGCTCGGCTGTTCAAAACAATCAGATTCAAACTTATGGCTGATCCGGATACTCAGCATCAAACGTGTAGCTGATCAGAAAACTTGGATTTAAACATCTGTTTAGGCGGATAATGAATTATACAATAAAAAATAATGAAATGTATTAACCGAAAATGTTTTGTGTATTAATTAAAAAAAACCAACATTATAGACAAAGCTATGTTTAGATTTTCTTTGACACACAGTTCTTCTTGCATTAATGTTAATACAAAGAGTAATACTTCTTGGTCTTAATTAAGAGAAACAGTAACTGATACTTTCTTATCTTTTTTTTATTGAGGTCATTAAAATCGTGATCTTAATTACTGGACAATCGTTATCTCTACTACAAAACTATTTCCGCTGTGGTCATTTCTACACTTTTCCTGTGTGTCACGGTAAGTTTTCGACTAAAGGTAGATTTACGAAGAAAGTTATAAAAAGTCATTCAAATATCTTGAAAATTTATTTTGTAATATTATATTATGCATTTGCATTGTTTGGTAAACAATCTATTGATAAAAGTATTAATATAACAGCATGTTTAAATTAAAACAACGTAATTTGCAATACAAAAAAAAAAAATTAAGATTAAAGTAAGCAGTAATATCAGCGTAAATTTTTACGAGAAGTTTACTAATCATATATTCAGAAATGAAAATGCTAGTACAGATTACTCTAGCATTGTCAGTTGTTGGAACAGTGCTTTGTCGACCCAATTATCGAGACGGAATACCTAATGGTTATAGTGTACCGAATCCGTGTGGAACCTCCGCTGTTTGGGATCCAGTAGGTCATATGAACCCTTTCCATCACACACACAGCAAAAACCCCTTTGGAACTGTGAGTAAACAGTTTGATAATTCGAAAGGAAACATTGCTCTCTTGCAAAAGGAATTGTATGTGCAGATTGTTGGAATGTCACATATCTTTTTTTAACATTTTTGTATTTTTTTTGTACATACAGTATGAATCAAACACTATATATTTTATGTGTCCGAAGCATTTTTCTGGATTTACCTTAATCAGAAACGCTCCAAAGCCAAACAATTGAAAGCCAAGGATTTATTGGTATAGAAACACTATATGACCAAATGGTACCTACAAATAATAGCTAAATTCATCTGTAAACTTTGCATGAGGGAGCTGGAACCTCAGTTCCATAATATAATTTTTGCTATGTATATATTGAATATCTTTTTGATATTATTCCTATTGTGTTAAAATAGATGGACATAATAAATGATATAAATTAGAAGTTTGACGATTTAAGTTAATGGATTGAGTGTTGTTTAACGCCATATCCGTACATCCTTGATCTATCTTGTTGATCAAGTATGTGATAGTCATAACCTTGTCTCAAATGATTTTTTTTCTTTTATATTTCTCAATCTAAATATATTTGAGGGTGAAGCTATTTCCATTATCAAAATAGAAATCACAACATTTTAATACAGCCTATCGAGGTAGTATGTCTCCTTCAAGAAATATTTTAAAGCTCCTATACCAAATATGTCAGGCATCAATAGAAATAAATAAAAAAAAGATGTCTCATAGAAATGTCTTTGAACATCAGAAAGATGTTATTTTGTTTTTGAAATCACAAGGCCTTGTTCAGCAATATTGTTTAACGTTTCCGTAATTTCCATATAATGAAATAAAATATATTTGGAACGGCCGAAGCGCTTTTTTGGATTTATCTTCATCAGTTATGCCCAAACAAATACTTTGAAAGCACAGGATTTACAAATCCTTCAATACTTCACAAGCAATATGTGCAAAAGGAACAGGGGTTTCCACATAAGTTAAACTTTGTCTGAGAGAGAAGATACACTAGTTTTCAGCAGTTTCTGAATTTAACAATAGAGAAAACTGAGCAATAACTACTGAACTTGTTTCATTTTAAAGGCCTAACAGTCAACCAGCTGCTGTATTGACCTAGTGCTAAAAAATAAAAATATGAAGCAACCTTCCAACAATATTTTCTCACGGATGGGTGGTGATTTTAATGTCTAATGACAAATTAAATACACATTCAGGGAAATAAAATATTATTGCGATATAAATATGAACCCTGCATTGTTCGATGACCAATCCCACAACTTCCTGCACTCGAGGTGAGCACGCTACCATGAGACTACATTTGCTAATTAAAATTATATCAAAATCCTTCCTTTTTTAAAGTTTATCGTTATAGAGGTTCGCTGCTTTCAATGAAGCCACTGAACAAATGTTGTTAACAATAAAGTGTGAACGATCTTTTCACAACAGAAGCCCTCTTGATTATTGCAACATTCTTGAATATCTGTGTCACAAATAATAACGAAATAGTTAATTGGTTGTAGGCGTAATTTGTCATCCTTTCTGCAAACAGTTTGAGTTCGTCATTTGAACTCTGGCGGATAGTTGTATCATTGGCAATCATACCACATCTTCTTATTTTTATAAAACATATAAATTGTGTGAAATAATATGACATCTGTAATTTTACTAATAGCAATGTCAATTGTAAGAATAAAGGTAAAAGTTGAAGACCAAAACTGTTTATTACACGAAAAAATGTTTGGTGGAATCTGGGTCTAAAAAAATCATTAAAGATACAAGGCTTATAGTTTGGTACGCGAGACATGTGTTACGATACGTCTGCATAAGACTAATCAGTTGGGTGGTCAAATTAAATATGAAATGAAAGATCACTGAAATTTAAAAAACCAAAAAAAAAAAAAAGGAACTCCGAGTAAATTTAAAAAGGGAGAAGTCCATGAGACCTGACAAAATCAAACTATATCAACTAAATTAACGAATGGAAAACAACTGTCAGAAAATGAACATATCAATGATATTTCATTTCAAAAGAATGTTTGATCTTGATATAAGTTTTACTCCTTTATGTTGTCTATATGTTTATTTCACAATAAAAGGAAGAATGTACCCATCAACATGACTTCATTCTTAAAACATCAAACACCTTTTGAATTGGAAATTATAATTATAACATTAATGCATTAATTTGCAGGCTTATAGTACATTTGGGAGATCATGGTCAACTATTTGTAAGGAGGATACAGACAGAGATGGTAAAACAAATGGCGAGGAATTAGGAGACCCCAACTGTGTTTGGACACCTGGTCAGACACCTGCCGGTAAAGCAATTGGACACCCAGGTATATCTCTTCAAATATAAACAAACTATGTAAATAGGCAAATAATAGGTCGTTATTCATTTTTAGTGTTACTGTTGCCTTTATTTATACAAATAAATTGTTTGTCTTACTTGAACCGCTTTTCAAAATTCACTGTGTCTAAACTGCACCGGCAAAAAATGTTTGGACTCGATGGTATCTAATATCCGGCACGGCGACGGAACATCAATAGACAGAGAAAAGGTAGTTTTCTGTTTATTTATTTGTTATTTTTATGATATAGAAGAATATATATACATATATAACTATTTTCAATTGTGAGATGTGATATTTTCTACAACCGTTCTAGATTATTGGAGAAATAAGAAAAATGCACGTCAAAATGACGAATTGAGTGAACCTTGCCTCGAATTTATTTAATATCTCCTTTAATTGTTCACATGGTACGGAAAGAAAGATATTGACATGGATATTGCAAAACTAGTCACTTTGAGCACATCAATACTTGTATTTCTGTGTATAGAACGAAAGAAATGGGTCATGTCAAAATGAAAGAAACCGGTTTTGTCAATGTTGTTTACTACACAATCACCCGGTTTTGGTTTTTTTTGAAACCACAAATTTATGAAAAGCAACGTTAACACGGATCTAAACATTGTCCATCAAAAGAAATTCACATATATGTTTATTGTAAAACAAAGCCAAAATACTACATATTATTTAGAGTTTGTGTGTTTTTTTAGAATTTCAAATGTGACGTCACTTTGTTCGTTGAGGCTTTGGCTAACTCGGCTGTGTATTTTTATGTGTTGGATTAAGTTGTTTTATGTAATGTATCCGATTTTATTCTGTAGTTAGTCCCCACTTCTGTTTTATCATGTATATCTATTATATAGTCATTTAGAAAAAATTACTGTTTGCAAAATTATAAATTATTCTAAATAATAAGGATGTTCTTGTCCCAGGCAGAAAACCCTGGCCGTGTAAGGCGCAACTTTTTGGAAGTTTTGGTCCTCGGTGCTCTTCAGCTTTGTACTTGATTTGGCTTTTAAACTTTTTTTATCTGAGCGTCACTGGTTGGTCATGTGTGGACGAGACACACGTCTGGCGTATTGAATTTTAAGCCTAGTACCTTTTGTTAGCTATTATTCGTGTGTTTCTTTGTCCTATATGTTCTCCCATTTATTTGTATTGTGGTTCTGTCATGTGATGTTGTTGTTTTGGTGTTGTGTTTGACGTTGCCATTAAAGCGGGAGGTTTGGCATGCCACAAAACTAGGTTCAACCCACCATTTTTTTCTTAAAATGTCCAGTACCAAGTCAGAAAAATGGCCATTGTTATATTATAGTTCGATTTTGTGTGTGTTGCATTTTAATGTTGTGTTTTTGTTGTGTCGTTGTTCTCCTCTTCACTACAAAAGTCAAAAAGTCTGAAAAGACCAGTTTTTGTCTGAATTTGCATGAATTTTTACTCGACATTCTTAATTTGTCTGAATAATTTTTAAAAATTCTTGACATAGTATGAATTTGTCTAAAAAGGTTCTTGATTTTTCTTGACAAGTGTCTTGACAGTATGAACATTGTCTTAAAATTTCTCGACACTTCCTGTATCATCTGATAAGAGTCTGGATTAGTCTCGACCAATTCTTGACTGTCTTAAATTTGTCTCGATCTGTCTTGACATATTCTCGACATTCTTAATAATGTCTGAATATGTCTCGACATATTCTTGACATTCTAAATAATGTCTGAATATGTCTCAACACATTCTTGACAGTCTTAAATATGTCTTGACACTATCTCAACATTATAAATTTCGCCTGAAATGTGAACAGACTTATTCTGCACTGTTTATGACATTCTATTGCTGTTATATACTCCTTTTTTATTATGGCTAAACTAAACTTTGAAGAATCAAGGATTAATTTGGTATAGTAAGATACCCTTTTGGTGCAACTGAGTTGGAATACCCTGAATAATCCCCCATGTAGTTTAATTTTGATTTATTTTTATTAAACATTTAAGTAATTGTTTTCCTTGGAATATAAGTCGAAGGTATTGACAAACAGCATTTAGATTTTTGCCGTTCGCAAAACTGCCAGTCAAATTTGCTTTACTAAAATAGGTGTCTTGTATCTCTTTTGGACCCCGCAATTCATCTTTTGGGTTTGTGTGGCTAAAAAAAGAGGGGGGGGGGGCTTTCGTTTAGGTCAAAGAATTTGTTCCCATCTTGATTCAAAAACCTTATTCATTTTTAAGAACAACCCAAAAACATTTTTTATTCAAATTTGAGTGTTGAATTTTATAATTTTTATCAAAAATAAATATTTGTGATTTATAACTCCTTCCTGAAAAGAATAAAATGTTTAGATCTATATTATGCATGTCTGTTTGAGAACCATTTCATAAGACCGATGATTTCTATAAAAATCATTGATGGGACCCATTATAAATACATTTTTTTTATTATTCCTGGAGTAGATAATAATTTTCTTTTAATCTTTGGGAATTATTCAATTTGTTTTTATGTTAAAATAATTAACTTCATAATTTTGATGAAGAAAATCCATTTCAATTCAATTTTTTTTCATCAAAATGATGATTTTCATTTTCATCTATCAACAAACTTTTTGAATTGTAGTGGCATGGTCGGTCAACTGATAAGTTGTATGGCTGATTACAGGTAAAGCAATAACTTCTATTTGACAGTTGCGTGTACTCTGGGTGTGGAATACCTTAATTTTATGGGAAACATCCTGTCCATGTGTAATACTTAATATATTCCAACAGATGACATTACACAAATTTTTTCTTCTGTTAAATGAATGATTTGTATATCATAATTTTCTATTTATAAAAACCACATTTTGGTATAATAATTATTACCATATCAACATTGAATATTATGAATGTAGAATGAAATATGTCTGTAGTATGATTGGTTTGAATCATTTAATTTATAAGATTTAGGAATCAAAATTTGTAATTATTTAAAAACCCACATTGAAATTGTTTTATATCAACACACCCACATTTGAATTATTTTATACTTTAGATTTCATAGCCATATTTGCATTTGTAAAAATATTTATATACCCAAATTTTCAATTATTTTACATGCCCAACTTTTATTTTTGTTGTAAAGAAGTGTAACTTGAAATAACAGTATATCATACAAAGAGAAATAAAGATTAAAGTTATATTATGAATATTGGTCATGATTTGTAAAACTCAGACCTGTCAAGTAAATTTAAGACACGATTCAAAATGTTCAGAATATGTCAAGCCATACTGAGAAAAAATAAGAATGTCGAGAATATGTCGAGAAATTTCAAGACAGTATTCAAATGTCAAGAATTTGTCAAGAAATTTTAAGACCATATTCAGAATGTCGAGAATATGTCGAGTAAATTTCATACAAATTTAATATAAATGAGAATTTGTCAAGAAAAATTAAGACACAAGTCATACTTTTGGAGAATGTCGAGTAAAAGTTCATGCAAATTAAGACAAAAACTGGTCTTTTCAGACTTTTAGACTTTTGTAGTGCTTATATTTGATGCGTTTCCCTCAGTTTTAGTTTGTAACCCGGATTTGTTTTTATCTCTATCGATTTATGAGTTTCGAACAGCGGTATACTACTGTTGCCTTTATTTACGCTCTGACATGTAACGACTGCTTGAATGATCGTAATTGAATCTATTTTGAAGATCTGTAAGATAAATAATTTAATAAAAGTATCACATAAACTTAACATTGTTCATGGAACCATAAACAAGTCAAGATCTAAAGAAACCTGACAGACGGACATGAACACATTACAATCATTAAAACCAAAAACAAAAATAAATAAAAACTTAACATTTACCAATTAATCAAGAAAATCAGTTCAAGGTCACATAAATAGTCTTGTGGCCATATGAACAAATGCAGTTGACCTATTACTTAGGATATTAGAGAAACGGACTTGAACACGAAATGTTAACCATGATCCTTGATATCAACTATTATCAGTGTGACACTCACAGCTATTCATGTTGTTAGGAAATCGCTGAACTATGAAAATGAGGTCAAGGGCAATGGACAAATGACAGATAGAAACATCGTTAGATAAAAGATCTGTGTGCGACGTATGTTGCAGTCAGGCCTTCTAACCTCGGACATATTAGGCTTCATACAAATAGTTCGAGACGCCACGAATTTGCATCCCTTGGTCTCGCATTTCGACGATTCTAAAATATCAATGTGAAATTTTAGAATAAACATGATCATCCTAGTCACATGCATCCAATTTCGCGGGTGTCCCGGTTTTTTTATAAAAAAATTTACGTTGTTATACGATTTAGTTATATATATATATATATAACATTAGTGGCGAATCCAAGCGGCGTATAGGTCGCACGCCCCTACCCCCACCTTTGATGGCAAAAAAAAAATTGTTCGCCTCGCTACGCTCGGCGGTATGTAAAGCAAAGTTATTATTATTTTTGTTCCAATAAAGTAGGATTTCAAGTGTTTACAGATTCAAATAAATAATAAGTTGTCCTTTGAAAGAAATCGTTTTCCAACGAGCCAACAGACTCCTTTTAAACACTGAAGTTCAATAATATTATGCGATTATGCATTTTTTTCTTTGACAAAACCGGGTTCTGCCTTGTGAAATCTAGGACAAAACCGGTTTGTACACATTGACAAAACCAGGTGCTTCCATTTTGACATGACCCATTTCTTTCGTTCTATACACAGAAATACAAGTATTGATGTGCTCAAAGTGACTAGTTTTGCAATATCCATGTCAATATCTTTCTTTCCGTACCTTTCTTTCCGTACCTTTCTTTCCGTACAATGTGAACAATTTAACGAGATGTTAAACAAATTCGAGGCAAGGTTCACTCAATTCGTCATTTTGAGGTGCATTTTTACTTATTTCTCCGTTAATCTAGAACGGTTGTAGAAAATATTACATCTCACAATAGAAAATAGTTATATATGTATATATATTCTTCGATATCATAAAATAACAAATAAAGAAACAGAAAACTACCTTTTCTCTGTCTATTGATGTTCCGTCACCGTGCCGGACATTAGATACCATAGAGTCCAAACATTTTTTGCCGGTGTAGTTTAGACACAGTGATATTGTTTAACATAAATGAAATAGTGTCAATTGTTACGAATCGACCTGGCTGATAACTGTGTTTTGCTCAATCGTTCAATGAGTCATTTCTATAAATCTTTAAAAAATGTTATCGAGTTCAATGTGATGCTCCATTTGTTCATTTGAAAAATTATTTCTCGCCAATTTATGCCCCTTCACATACACAGATTTTTCTTGCAGGTCCTTACTTATTACCGACTCGTACACAATCGCAAGCATCCTTAAATAACTCGTCATAACTCGTAGTCACTCTTAAGGATCCATGAAAAGAGATGTCAAAAATCTGCTTGCGATTGTGCACGGTTTGATTTTTCCTTAAATAACTCGTACCAATTGCAAACCGCTCGTAAACCGCTTGCAACAACACGTAAACATCTGTAAACTCACAAGAATCCGCAAATGACTCGTAACAATGTTTGTTCACGATTTGTTACGGTTAGTTCACGATTTGTTTACGGATTATTTACGGATTATTACGAGTGCTAACGTGTTCCTCACGATTTCATTCGGGTCTTGCTACGATGGCTTTACGAAACATAATTTAACAAAGGACTACTTATAGTTACTGACATGCCAGCTCCGGACCTCAATTAAACTGATTGAAAGATTATGTCTTCATCATATATATAAAAATCAATTACTATTCCTCCCGTTAGGAGTTTGGTATCATGCCATCATAAATGATACGAGAAGAACATAACCCGTACCATGCCAACAACTGGTTTTGGAATTAATGTGTTTTATTCCGAACCAAAGATTCTATGAATGAATCAATATTAATTCCAAAAAGTGCCATATTTAATGCTTTGACAACGGTATCGTAACTATATTCCTTGTGAATAAGTATGTTTAAAGGTTTGGTTAGTTTTTGAGGTGAATGACGACATATTTGTGCTTTGTATAGAAAATTACCATAAAGATGGAATATGAAATACCTGAACGTATAAGCACGTTGGTCTATATTAAACAATGATGTTCTTGTAGCGATGATAATATTTAGTAAAAGTTTTGACAAGTTTGTGATATCGAAAACCCTGGTGTTGTAATTTTTCAGTAATACAGAGATTTCTTTCATTAAAATCAAATACTTTATTACATACACGAGCGAATTGAACAAGTTGAAATATAAAAACATCATACGATGGTGCCAAAGGAACTTCACCATCTTAAAACGATAACTAACAATAGGAAATAAAAAATCATCTCTTTTATCGTAAATTTTAGTATTAAGCTTCCCGTTAGAGATAAAGATATCAAGATCGAGGACAGGGTAGTGTTCATCGTTTGTATTAGCTTTATTTAAAGTAAATTCAACAAGAAAAATGTTTTTTAAATGTACATACTGAAGTCGTCATTAATGAGAGCCAAAGTATCATCCAAATATCTAAAAGAGTTATTAAATTTTTGTATCAGATTTTTGTTTTCGATGAGTTTTTGCAGATTTTATACATAAAATGTGACCCGTAACAGGTCCGCAATAAGTGGTGCGCAGTAGTCTCCATTGGAATTCCCATAACGTGGCGATAAACGGAACCTCCATAGCGACAAAAAGTTTATCTAGTAAAAGTTCAAGTGCAGTTATCATATCAAAACAGGTCCAATAGACATATTTCTTTTGATTGTTGTTAATAAAATACCTTAAAGAGTTTGAACATATAGTTTCATTCTGACTGTTTAAATGCTTATTTAATTAGGTGTGTGATTTTTTTCTTAATGAAATTATGAGGCAAATTGGTATATAGGGTAAAAAAATCTAAATTTTGAACAGATTCGAAAGCACCAATATGAGCATGCAATTTATCAAGTACTCCAAACAATTTTTTGACACTTCAAAAGTAAATAATTCCTCAATTTTCGTAGACCTTAATCGAAAAATGTATTACCTGGTTTGATTGAACCAAGTGTACTAATAAGTACTGTAGAATAGACTGTTTAGTAATGGAACAATGGCTTGGAGATGAAATAAATCTGTATTTTTAAGGTGTTTTGAGTCAGTTGGAATGTTGGTGAATTTGAAATTTCCTTTTGCAGAACCTCAATATAAAATTTACGTCAGACAATAATGAAAATATATAGGCAGTCTTATCAGATGTGACAAAAACAAATTCCTTGCCGAGTACTTTCAGCTTATGTTTGATACGAGAAAGAGGGCTATTATGGTGTTTACGAGAAATAGGGCTATTATGGTAATAACGAGAAATAGGGCTATAATAGTATTTACGAGAAATAGGGCTATTATGGTATTCTTACGTAAAAGCTTTGATGAAGAGTAAAATTCCGTAATATACTCGTAAAAATGGCCGTAAGTTGCTCGTAGTTATCAATAACAACTTGTAACAAATCATGGAATTTTCCTGTAAATACATCGTAATAACTCGTTATAATCCGTAATAGAGATTTCCAATAAAATGACATACGTACGTAACTCGACGTACGGACCCAATGGGACTGGTTATTGTCAACCAATGAATTTGATTAAATACGTCGCCCAAGTTAAAACACAGTATTAGTCCAAAACTCTTAAAATCTTACTCTGGAATTTTCGTCCATATTTAATAATTTTAACATGATGAAAAATGAAAGAAATCATGCATTTTTATTTATCACGTGGTTTTTTAGATATCCGCCTTAATTTTCACTGACACTTAGATGACGTATAAACACACGTATCCCTTACCTATCATACGATATCATAAGTTAATTTCATTTCGATGCATGCCCGAACAAATGTGTCCGTGAAATGAAGTAAATTATCAATCCTGTAAAATGATTCCGATTGCGCTTAATATAATGGCAACTTTAATAAACAAGATGCGTGCAAAATAGAAACCACCAAACATGGAATCGCTATTGCTTCAATCGCTCTAAAACTCCGAAGTTCCACTTAATTGTGACGAAAAATATAAATTGAGTAAGAAAAAAAACAAAACAAAATAAAAAAAAACAAATCAAAACAAACAATAAATTGAATGGATTATTACTTTTGCACGAAATTTATCCAGATACTTACCAAAATCTGAAATGATATACATTTTGAAAAATTAACATGAATTACGAAACAATTAGAATGAGAAGAAAATAAATTATATAACAGATTTACAAGGACGATTCAACAGATCAATGCAAACAACACTTTTTCTTCTTATATAATTCACATTTCATTAAAAAAAACACAACCATTGTAAAAAAAGTATCCCACCAACTTTATTTTTTTTACAAAACAAACTATTATAACAAAAATATTATTTATAAATAATATTTATTTATAATTTTTTCGGGGATAAAATTTATAAGAAGGATACTTTTCTGACAATTTCAGAAATGTTAAAATCAGTGTTTGTCAGAGTATCGCTTTCATTTAATTTCTAAGTAAAAGTATTTTCCATTTATCATTAGGCGTATTAATAAAAATATTCCCTATATGGTTGTATTTTAAAATGTGTGCTCGATTAAGGATTGTTATGTGTTGTTTTGATAAACGGGATACTATATGAGTCCAAATACAAAAGACATTTCCTGGCAAAATATTTTATTTCCCTTGAAGTATACTAACTTATAGTGTTTTATCCATTTTATTTATAAACAATTTATAGGGGTCACCGATGTTCTTTTAACTGCATAAATCATTGAAGTGAACGTGTTAGGTAAGACACATAGAAAAACCTAAGATACTCATATATATAACTAATAATAAGATTTCGATAACAAATGTGGATCCAGGATTTTGAAAAGGGGGCCACAAACTAGGCATCGTAAGGAGTGGAACATGTAAATTCTATGCATTTACCACATATGTAGCTCCATAAAAAGGGGGGTCGAACCAAAGACCTCCCGCACTCAAACAGTGGCATCGCTTCCATTGAGGCAATGAGGTAACCAGCTCACCAAATTAATGAATATTAAAAAAGGAGAGATCAAGAGAAACTATATACCGTTTATTTCATAGTATAGAGTATAGAGTAACGATGGCTTCCAAACATTTACACCCTTTACTCAATCATTCCTCGTGATTAAAAAAGAGGAACGAAAGATGCCAGAGGGACAGTCAAACTCATAGATCGAAAACAAACTGACAACGCCATGGCCAAAAATAAAAAGACAAACAGACAAATAATAGTACAGATGACACAACATAGAAAACCAAAGACTAAGCAACACGAACCCCACCAAAAACTGGGGGTGATCAGGATTAACTTAACAAAATTGTAAGTCAAACTTTCTTTAATCAAATGTACAAGCTTAAGGAAGATACATGTACAATTATCTTTTTAAAGACAGACAAAGTAAACATTGTAAAAAAACTGAGTAAAACGAGAGGTCATAACTGTGAAACTGACATGGTGCTTGATTATTTCTTGACAACGAACTTATTACTTTAGGTGGACGTCGTTTTCTACAGACACTTGGCATTCCTATGGGACAAACTGTGGTCCACTTTTTACTGACATGCAACTTTGATCAATATAAGCCAGACTTCATAGTTCACCCAGTTATCATAATCCATGCATTTTGGCAAAAGCCCCTAAACGTATAAAGTTAAAAGACATAGTGGATCGTAAACTTTAACATCAACAATATAACAAATCTGAAATCGGTCGCAAAAGTGGCCAAAATCGTACGGATCCGTGAATTTGTGCGATCCGTAAGAACTTGTAAGAAAAAATCCATGTATTTGAAGGGAGAATTTGGCGCTTAAATATACTTTTATAACATAATCTTATTATCGCCAACGTGTTATTAAATTTCATTTCATTTATATCTATTATAGGTATATGTGAACCAGTTGGAAGTGCTGTATGTTCTTGGCAAAACTTTAGATGCGACTGTCTTGAACATTGTTAGTTGAGATTTTCACTGTTAATCTAATGCATGTTGTTAGATTAATGCACAAAGAATTTGTAATATCACATTCTGTTTATATCTAGACCTACATTCAATAAAGAAACATACATATTGTCAGTATCGGTTGATTTTGTTTTCAATTAATTAAAACGCAACTTAATATCTACTGCTATACAACAATGAACACTTATGGTCCAACATCGTGACGGTACTTATTTTGGCATTGCACATCTTGGTCATCTTGTTTATGACGTCCGTACGCTAATTGATATTTTACTCTAAGAAAACAAGTATTGAAATCTTTGTAAGTTTTATTTTTTAATTGAAATTGGCTTTGACCTAGGAATTACGCTTAAATCGGTACTTCCTCTTTTAGCTTTTTGTTATTATGAGTGTTTTGTGCTTTGTTCACATTTGGCGAGTTAAGCCATTTCCAAAAAAGAGATGGAAGATATCGAATGGATATGCAAACCCTTAAGTCGAGATCAACTGACAACTCTATGGCAAAACAAAAAAATGACGACGAAAAGACAAACAGGTTCACAAAACACTACATAGAAAACTAAAGACTGAGTAACAAGAACCCCACAAAAACGGAGGAAGTTCTCAGTTGCCTCGGAAGTGTTAACGGATCCTGCTGCACTTGTTGTACCCGTCTTATTTTACCTCTTTATTCTTATTTGAGGCTCTTACACTATTGTCTCGGGTAAGGCGACTCAACGCTCACACACACATTTTTTTAGCCTGTCCCAAGTCAGAAACTGTGATTCAATGGTTTTCAATGGTTGCTGTCTGTAATATTAGTCCTTCAATATTTTTCTCTCCTTTGAACTGGTTACCATTTTATCATACCGGAACCTTGTATAGCTTACTATACGGTATGGGTTTTGAGCTTTGTTGATGGCTATACGGTGACATATAGATATATACATCCGTGTCCTTTGGTCGCTGGTCGATAGTTTTCTCATTGGCAATCATACCGCATCAAATGTATTGCTATTTATTACTGTTGATATTGGGACTTCCTTCAATGACCACATCGTTTAATACTTAAGCTTAACTTTAAAAACTGTATTCCCAAAAGAAAAATACAGAGCTATAGGACAACCGCTGATGAAAATGTGGAAGACAAAAGGTAATTAAATTAACAAGTCAAATAATGCACGTAGCTACTTAAACCAATTGCCTCTTTGCAATCATTGAACAAGCGAATATGACTAGCTTAACATTGCTCATAGAGTCTAGACTTGTAGAATGCACAAAAAGCAAATATGCTTAACCCGTCAAAGTTCAAGGTCTCTTTTCGTTTCGTGTGTACTTGTAAGATTTGATATAACATCGACACACTACATGAAAACAAAGACATGTGGTGTAATTGTAAATGAAACCATACCCAGTTAGCAAGATATACCAGGGATGACAAACTGAAGTTCTGGAAAAAAAACAACTGTCAGACTTAAACTTAAATAAACTGAACAGTAAAACATTGATCGAAAAACAATTATGACATACTATTGCAAACTTGAACCCCTGGATAATACGTTCTTGGCTTCGGACCGCCACATAAAGAATGTGACAGGGTTAAACATGTTCTTGAACACATATACATGACTCGACTCAATTATCGGTACGTATATAGGCGCATACAACTCATCATAAAATAAGGACATTTGTACCGATACACAAATAGTCGCAGTTACTAAAATTAGTTCATAAACCAATTCAGACCATGTTTTCATAAACTTTTCAGAATAACTATCATGAAACCTTCAAAGTATGTTTAAACATACAATAAAAATCGTCTCCTTATTGTCTGTGGTCGCTTTCTGGATGTACTGAACACAAAAGTGTCTGAAGAATTGAATTACCATGAAATAAGTATATTTTTTAATCACTAATGGTTTATGGTTACAATTACACAATGTATGGTTGTTTTAATTGATAGTTATTCTGTACCTGAAGGATTGTCAAAATTCTGACATAAGATTATAAAAAAAGTCTTTTATAGCATCAGAAATAACCTTTACTACTTGATGCAATTCATTTTCGCTGGCATAATCTAAAGCTTGTTTTCAAAACATCAGTATTATTCAGAATTGATCCCTCTTCTTTAAGCAGAAATTTTACAAAATGTAATCTGTCTTCTTCGCTTATTTGGATATTATTGAGTCTGTATATAGCTATCAACGGAGTTCTTCCAATATTATCTGTACAGTTTACATCAACTTTTCTTTCAATAAGAATTCTGGCCATTCTTAATTTCCCTTCAGCAATTGCGTCAAATACTTGCTGCACATCTTCATTCAAAGCATATTTAGAAGTTAACGCATTCTTTCTCCATCTAATCACCACGGCTTTAAGGCAGTTCGTAGCAGACATGTTTACTATTAAGTTGAAGATTTATATCTGATAGATAATAACATCACTTAGAGTTTAGATACTAAAGTAATACTTTGTCATGTGGTTAACAATAAGAATTCTATTTGAAGAAATTTGGCATTAAATGTATATATCACGCCTTTAATTATAAAGTAAGAAAACCTGTTAATATTTTGCTTGCGTCATTAAGACACTTATTATTGCCAACACTGCATGTTGCATTGTTTGTCCACAACAATTGTATTTAAGTTTTGTTTTCATTCTCCCACTTAAATTTTGATGTAAAGTTCAGACAATGTTTTAGATACTATTAACACAACTTTGAACGATTATGCAAGCTCATTTGATTATCTTAGCAATTGGCCGAATTAAATTCTCTGAAAAAGTAAAAAGTTAATTGTTCATCTATAATCACTCATCAAAGATACAGGGCTAACCACTTGGTACGCTCGAACCAAAAAAGTTATGAGGAAGAACGACTGAAATCGACATTACATAAGTTTTACAGTCATCATCACGAATTAGTTGACTGATACGCTGTAACGGTATGTCAACTCCCTAAAAACATGTTCCCACGGTCTTATTTCTTATATACAAGTATATTTGTTTGATCAGTTATTTTTCCGAGTGTGTCCTATTCCTGATATGATATTTTGAATGAATGTCGATTATTATGGCGGTTTATGCATGCTTAGCAGGAGACGCTTACCATGTTTACGCACCCAGTCTCGCTAAATTTAGAGTTCATGCGATTTCCTAAGTTTGTGTTTGTTACCTTTATGTATATTTTCTTAATCGATTACGAGATTTGAACACCGGTATTCTACTCTCACCTTAATTTATACATATCTACTTATAACAAATCTTCAACACTCTCTAGTTTATCATAACTGAATATCGATTGTTTTACTTTTCCATTTTCAATATAAGATACATTCTTAAATAGTATTTTGAAATGGTAAAAAATAACTTTTATCTATGGTTTTGTCTAATGTTAAATTTAGAAATTATTTATGATTTATAGACGGTTAATTTCTCTATCATGGAAGGTTACGATTAGTTCATTTTTCACACCATTTTGTTTTTATTTAGATCAAATTATATACAAATATTTTTTTGTTACACTCGTCGATTTAAATTTAAAAAGATTACACATTGTGTTGTCGAAGTCATTAATGTCTAATGTCATCTATGTTCCATTTAAGTATTAGATACAATACTAAGGTAACAAAGAAATAGGCCGGTAACAACTGTTGCCGGATAGTTTTTCTGCACGAGTAGTCAGGTCCGAGGCGATAGCCGAGGATCTTGACCTGACTACAAGTGCAGAAGAACTATACGGCAGTTTGTTTCCGGCCTGTTTTTTCGTCACCTTTGTTTTGTATCTGACTTGTACGACGTTTCAAGAAAGAAGTAGTACATTTTGCATTTAGAAGAGGAAGCAAAATTAAACAGATTAGAAACTTAAATTGCCATATACCAGTTAATGTAAGTTACAGTATAAACAAATTTGTTTTCAATTCCCTTCAGCCGAGAGTTTTTTTCTCAAAAATTCAAGAATATAATAATTTTATAAAAAAGAACCATGTCAGAGTAAAAGATGAATGTCGTACACATTTAAGACTTTTTAAAATGCAACTTCGCAAGTAAGTAATGTATGAAAAAGATTTGAAAAAATGCAGGATGTGCCATTCCATCCCCCATTCCCCCTTTAAAAAATAATAAAAATGTACGTTTGCTCCCAAATATATGAATTCAATATATATGAATTCAATAACAATATAAATGTATCAAAAGAATGAATTTCCTATTTCATTAGTGAATGAAATGTTATGCGAAAATGGATTTTGTCTTGTTATTAGATATATATAGGCATATATTTTGGATTTTTTTAAAACATGCTTAAAGGTTTTTATATGTCTCTGATAGTGTTGATCAGGATTAAAAATGGTCATTCCCTTAGTGCGCTGATATGAATAGTAACATACTGGAATTGTTTGAAAAAAATATAGTTACTGATCCCAACGTGAATATTTTAATAAAAAGACGGGAAATATGTCGGTGAAACAAAAAGTTCAAATCTAATTGAAATTTAAAGTGCCCATGAACTTACTGATCATGCACGAATGATTCTATTCATAAAAAGTGTCCGTGTAACACCCGTTAATGTATTGTTTTTCTATAGCTCTGCTGGGGGCATAGTCGTACAAATACCGATAATGATCCAAATGCTTCAATTATAATTATAATTATCTCTTGAAATACTTAATAAAAATAAGGAGATGTGGTATGATTGCCAATGAGACACCTATCCACCAAAATTGAAATGAAGTGGATTTAAGCAATTATAGGCAACCGTACGGCCTTCAACAATGAGAAAACTCCATACCGGATAGTTGGCTATAAAAGGCCCGACATGAAAAATATGAAACAATTTAATTGAAAAAACTAACGGCCTAATTTATAACAAAACAATTTAAAAAAAAAAATATGACAGACATGAACCAACGACAACCACTGAACTACAGGCTCCTGACTTGGGACAGGCGCATAAAGAATATGACAGAGTTAAACATGTTTGTCAGCGCTGAACCCTCCCCCTAACGTGGGACAGTGGTGCAATAGCACAACATAAGAGCAAACTATGAAAATCAGTTGAAAAAGGCTTAACTCTTCAGATCGATACAAAGAAAAACATCAACCAAAAACACAGACAGGACGTGGAAGGGTATATATCC